AAAAAAGTAAAATACATCCTAAACCATGAAAAATAAAAACAAACACACATAACTTGTAATTTTTAATTTTATTTTGTGTGTTGTAACTTTTAATTTCTCATCTTGTGCGTTGTAATTTTTAATTTTATCTTGTGTGTTGTAATTTTTAATTTATCATCTTGTGCTTTGTAATTTTTAATATTATATTGTGTGTTGTAATTTTTTGATTTTAATTTTTAATGACTATTTATATCTCCCGGTTTTATTATGTATATGATTATAACTTTATAATTAGTTTATTACATAAAGTCCAAATTGAATTGACAATAATAGTGCGGTTTAATTCGTAAATTTGTAAAATATATGTGAAGTATTGAAAAATTGTAAAAGTTGATGTAAATAGGATATTCCAAGAATATTCTTTTGAGTTGGGGAATGAGTTTTTCAGTTGGAGATGAATTACTGCAAAAAGGGTTTGAGTATGGGGTATTCGGTTAGAGATGGCCTAAGTAAAAAAAAAAAAAAAACTTAAACAAAATCTTACTTCAAATCCAACCTTCAAACTATAGTATTCTGCAAAATCTGAAAATCTTACAAAATCTAAAATGGGGTCAAAATGTCACTTGAAATCCCAATTGAGTAGTTTAGAAAATTTAAAGGTTTTTATATTTTAAAAATTTTTGTATATTTAATTTTAATTTTTCTAAGTTTTTATTAAAATCTGGATATATTTATTTAAAAAAAAAAAAGAACTCGTGATGGTTTTATAAATTTGCACAAAGTGAATGTTTATAACAATAATCACAATATATTGAGGTATTTTAATCACAATACAATAGTCTCATAAGTATAAATATTGCATAATTTTTCGTAAAGACTAGTTAAATTACCAGTAATAAAAGAAAAAAAAATGATTTTTTTTCATCTTCATTAATAATATCATTTGATGTAATTTAAATTTATGAACATGAAAGACAGAATAATAAAAATCACGGATTTTTTATTTTTTGTTTAAATACACTTTATACATAATACTTCGAAAAAACAACATATTTGAGAAATATATATATAAATTTCTTACTTTTCAAAACGACATAAAAAATAATGCCATTATATATTACTATATGTATACAATTTTGGGACATTCTAGGGTCAAGTAGTGTTGTACATACATGACATCAGGTAGTCCACTTTATTACCATAGTCAAGATTTAATATCAACCATTGATTTGATGTACAAACCATGTACAACCAAAAAAAAGAAAGATTTATGCTTTGTACATGCATTTGTAATATTGTACAAGCGAAAAACCTATTTTACCCTGACTATTATTTAAAATACAAATTAATTATAAATTGATGTTTCTATTTATTCTGAAAGCCTTGACTTTATCTAATTTATATATCAATCCTTTATGAATTTTATTATTACAATACATTATCTAAATGTTCATCTTTTTTTTTTGTTATATCGGTAGATTTTTGTTCATCCATCGTTCTTCATTCATCGTCATCTGAGCATCATCGTCGTCGCTTATGCCTTCGATTGCACCGGCGAAAACTTGGCAGCCCCTAATTTCGCTTATCTGATGAGCACTCCGTTCAGGTAACTTTTTCCCAAATCGAATGGTTAACCTAATAAAACACCACTATCAGTTGTAGAAAAATATTTCATAACAACAATTGAATTTCGAATATTCTTTGTTATTCACAGATGAATTAGATTTACTTGTCGCTCGTCTCCCTAATTTTGTACTGTTGTGTTATATCTTACTTTATTTTTTTAATATTCTAGATCTATTGCCTTTTGCAATTGATTTCGTTTTATTATGTTAGCATTTGGAACAAATGAGATGATTTATTTATTTTCATTTCATATTAGAGTAGGTAGATTTGATGAACGAGGAATGAATGTTTTTTATGTTATATTCTTAATTAGGACATTATTTCGACGAGTGGCAACTCATGATGGAGTGGAGATTCATAGATGGATTCATGTGAAGTCATAGTTAGAGGAATCGCAGAGTGGACGCCTATTTGCTGTTAGAAGAGCACTTGATGAAGCCTACAATCACAAGTGGAAGTAGATTA